GAAAGGCTGATATCTTGCAGCTTGGAGTCAGCAGCTGAGAGTAGGTTCCTCCTTATCCATCTACCCTTGTGCCTGGTGCAGTTAAAGCCCCAGAGAGAAGAAAGGTGGGAACCTGAGGGAGAATCCTTAGCAAAAGACACAAAGGCTCAGGCTCCACCCCCTGGCCTAATTTCCAGCCTAGGTGTGGAAGAGTGCCTGGTCTTGCAGCCTCTCCAGCATGAGGAGAGCTCCGGTCAGTCTTCTGGAGACAGGACAGAGCAGTGCCATCAATACTAGGACTTACCAGCTCCCCTCTTGGGAAATCTGGGGTGCTCTGCTCTCTAGGCAAAGGGGAGACCTTGAGCAGAGAGACCTTGTCACCTACCAGCAGCAGCCCATCCCAACACCCCAGGCCCATGAGGTGCACTTCAATTGTTCTGGTGTTGAGCTGGGCTGCCCAGAGGGGTGAGAAGAGGGAAGAGCCAACTGAAGCTCCGGCCCAGAGCACTTCTATTTCCAAAGGCCCCGCAGCTGCCTCCCACAGTCCCCTCTCCTTTAGCCACCCATTTCTGGTTTCTCCACTTGTGTCAAGACCCTGCAGGCCTCCTCCCCACTACCTTTCACTCTGCACCCAGTGGAGGCCAATCTGGCAACAATCAGTGCAGCTGGCCAGTCTGGGGTGAGCGGCCCCTCCCCCACCTGTCCTCCCTCCTGCCGTCAGGAACAGGACAGACACCTCCACGGTCTCACTCCAGCCAGACTCTAGCTGGAACACCAATATCTAACAATAGCTCTGGGCAGTGCCCCAAGCGGGACTGGGCAAGCTCCCCAGTCAGAACCCGGTTTCCCCAGGCAGGGAACGAGCAGGGTGCTTTCCATCCTGACCACAGGAACTTGGAGAGTGGAAGACACAGGACAAATAAGCACCTGTTTACACAGGTCTGTCGGCTCAAAGCAGACTGCAGCAGGAGGCATTTCTGCCTTTGCCAGAAGCCAGATTCCCTCTTTTAAAAAATAACTTGGGTGACATTCAGCATTTCAAGAGCCCTGAAAATGGGGGCAACAGCCTTTGGCAGAGAGAAGGGGAAGGGCTTCATGACCTAAGAAGCTGGGCAAGGGCTTGCACCCCAGAACAAAGCTGAGCTGAGACTCTCCTGGAGCGGGGCTGACAGTGCCAAGCTCTGATTCTGCTGGCAAATGGACTTGCCCACATCAGACTCTCCCTTGGTCGAGTTCCTAGCTGGCCTTGGAAGCAGTGTCCCCCGAGCTCTCAGTAGCTGTCATCTGTGTGACCCCACAAGATTATGATGCTCTTCTGCTAGATCAAAGTCAGACCCCCATCTCAAGGCTCATTCTGCTAGTCAAATGATTTGATGGTCAAAATCTGAGTACGTATTCTTCAGGGCGAGATGCTGCAATCTCAGAGTCACGGACAGAGAGGGTGGGAAGGAAGAAAAATCAAAAGGCCTGCTCAAGCTGGCCCCCCTTGCCCACAAAAATGAGCCCCATCACCTCCGTCCTCCCGCCTGTGCAGCATCTTCACCTTCCAGGAGTCCTAGGTTCAGGGCTGCCCACAGAAGGCACTCAGGAGGACGAAGGCCTCATATTCAGTTCTGTGGGGTCTGCCCCCTTCCCTGCCCTCCAGCAGGGACTCAGCATGTTCACAAGGTGCCTGCCCTAGGAGCACCAGGCACTGGTCTTCACATTTCTCATGAGCTCTGGGTAAACCAGTTAAACTAGTCTTGCCTTTCCTAAGTTGCAGTGTTTTTAAAGATCTGGTAGGCAGCTACTGGAGGCCTTCCAACTCACCGCTCAGGCCAATCCTCATAATAAGAAAAATACTACTTTCTATCTGCCTCATTTAGGAGGCTTCTACTTTTTTCTTTTGGTGGTTAACTCAATTTCATCTTGTGTAACCATCATAAATTTTCTAAAAATTTCCCCAACAGGTGCCAGCAACTGCAAAAAAGTGTATATGTGTGTAAATGGGAAGTCTCCAGAGGAGTGATCAGGGGTTCTCTGGTGAGCTTTAGAAGGAAACAGAACTTCTCTCTCCACCCTCTAAGAGAACCTCACTTTGCCCCTTTTCCAGAAAGATTCCAAGAACTCATATCCTGTAGACTCTTTAAGTGTCCTCATCTTTTTTATTTAATTAGAAAAGGTAATATAGCCGGGCTCGGTGGCTCAGCCTGTAATCCTGCGCCTTTGGGAGGCTGAGGTGAGTGGATTGCCA